TTCAAGAACATCAAGAAGATTCCCTTGCAGAGTGCTGGAGGGAAGTCTGCAGAGAGTGTAAACCCGAGCATGGTTGAAGGCTTGCGTGTTCTAATCAGTAGCTTCCATTCTCTTTTCCATTATCCCTTTATAACCCCTATATACCCCTAACAGTAATAGTAATAGGGTTACAGTACCAGACTGGGAAGTCTCTATATTTCCAGTACTAGCAAAGTCTGATATGATGTAATGCTGAATCTGCGACCCATTTGTAAGACACTCAAATTGTCAGTTCCAAGAAACATTGGCTACAAATGTTGTGGACTCTGCGTTGGTCCAACTTCCAAGCTCGGATGAACGCCTACCTGCAGATTGTGCTACACATCATGCGAAAGGGTATAGTCCCCCTTAAGCAGATAGAATTTGGGGGTAGATGGGTATCTTATTTTGATGTGCCCAAAGCCATAATCTATCTACTTAAGGGGGACTATATCCTCAAAACCCTATGGTGAGAGAGCGCGAAGTGCGTGAGATGCTCGCTGCACGTGCGCCAAATACAAGTGAAGACATCCCCCTGATACCCTTATGACTGTATATTGGGGTTTCCCAAAATTAGGGCACCCTTTTTGGGGGTCCCCATATTAAGGACTATAGTATATTGGGGTCTATTGGGGTCCCCTTATTTAGGGAAACTACCAAATAATCCTAGAACCACCTCCTGTAGTTTAGCATAGTCCCTAATATATTCCCTACAATAAGGAACCCTATAGTCCTTAATTTTTCTGGGCAATATTGACTGCAATTCTTTTACCCCTGTAAACCCCAAATATATACACCTCAAATATAGCTCTACATAACCCTATAGCCACCTTACAGAGTGCGCATAATATACCCTATAACCCTATAACCCCTACATACATACCCCTAAACCATGAACCCAAGATACCCCTGATGTACGCCGTTACAACCCTATAGCCACCTTCCAGAGTAGGGACAACCCTGAACCCGAAATCCCTTAATCCCTACATCCCTAAACCCTAAACCCTAAATCCTTAAATTCCTAAACCCTAAACCCCTAAACCCTAGATCCTAAATCCCTAAACCCTAAATTCCTAAACGCTTAAACCCCTAAACCCCAAACCCCCAAATCCCTGAACCCTAAATCCCTAAACCCTAAGTCCCTACAACCCTAAACCCCAAACCCCTAAACCCTGATCCCTAGATCCTTAAATCCTAAATCCCTACATCCCTAAACCCTAAATCCCTAAACCGCTGGGGCCAGGAGCTGAGGTCAGCGATAGCGGCTCGGAGTCTGATACCGGCCAGGCTTGGCCGGAGCTTGGGCTTTTTAGGGTTTAGGGACTTTTGATTCAGGAATTCAGGTTTTTAGGATTTGGGAATTCAGAGTTTTAGGGTTCAGGGACTTTGGATTTAGGAATTCAGGGCTTTAGGGTTTAGGGATTAGGAATTTAGATTTTAGGGACTTAGGATTTAATAATTTAGGGTTTAGGAATGCAGGGGTTTAGGGTTTGGGAATGTTGGGATTTAGGGTTTTGGACTGTTGGGATTTAGGGTTTAGGGATTTAGGGTTTAGGGATTTAAGGCTTAGGGATTTAAGGTTTAGGGATTTAGGGTTTAGGGATTCAGGGTTTCCTGAACATGCTTGTTAATTCATAAGTATATTCCTTAGATGCATCTGAAACCAGGACTTCTGCCTTTCTTCCAGGGAACTTAGAGATGAGGGGTCTGAGGAGTTTCGGGGCTTACGGTGTTAGTTTATGTGGGTTTAGGGTTTAGGGTTTGCAAAGAGTTTGGGGGACCAAGGATTCCGGCAGGGTTTCTGGTGCGAGTTCAGGCACTGCGCAGGCAAGAGGGACCCTTGCACGAGGATCCCGGCATTTTAATGTAAAGGTTCAGTGAACCAGACCCGTGATTGAATGGATGCAGTCCCGTAATCATCTCTAGGAAGCAAACTGCCACCAACGTTGTGCCCTGGCATGTCATCCACAGGTATCTGCTCTACTTGTTAGTCCATGAAAACCCCTTGTTTCTGACAATGCTGCTACAGAATACAACATGTTTTGACGTGCGCTGTGCAAGTGAAGCAAAGGCAGTGCTTACAGCATCAGAAGCTCAAGGTAGTACACGCTAAGCAACCAGCTACAATGGTTCCGGCCACGCATGTCATACCGTGCTTCTTGAAATTTTTGGCACCGTTCACGACCATCTGCAGCCTTGCCTTGGTGGTTATTACAACTATACTACGGTTAGTGATGTTCGCAACACTAAAGGATATGTCAGAAAGAAATAAACTGGCTTAGACCCTAAACCGTGAACCCCTAAACCAAAACAAGCATAACAGATAATGGCACCACTACTAATCATAATGATGATATTTCTAATGATGATAACAACGAGAACATATATAAAACCCTAAACCCTATAAACCCTAAACCCTATGAACCCTTTAGACCCTAAACCCTATGAACCCTATAAACCCTAGTAACATAAGCTAAACCCTACATCACACCTTGGATCCAAGCGTTTTGGAAGGCCAAGGCCAGCCCTAAGGAGGCGCGGAAAAACGCTGACATGGCTCTTCTGTGCAGAGCTTACTGGGCGGGAGGGATTATAGGGTTTATAGGGTTTATAGGGTTTAGGGTTCATAGAGTTTATAGGGTTTAGGGTTTAGGGTTTAGGGCTTGGGGAGGGATTATATGGGGACTGTATAGGGGTTTATAGGGGTTGTAGGGCCTTATGGGGATTATACAGGGATTGTTCAGGGTTTAGGGTTTAGTAGTTTTGAGTCAAGCGTTTACTAGTGCAGGGTTTAGGGTTAGTAGTTTTGAGTTTAGGGTTTTAGGTTGTGCAGGGGTTGGAGTTTAGGGTGACGCAGCAGCATGGCCTTTTACAAGAA